TTATCCTTCTTGTACAGGAGATGGTCGTGAGGAATCGAGCCGATGTTTTTCTTAAAACATGGGGAATAGCTGGTATGTGCGAGGGAAATTGAGAGGAATACAAGACTAAGAAAAAGAAGGACTGAAAAACACGGTATCGTTGCCATTTTGTCAAAGCCAATAAGACGCGGGTGCTACTTTCTTTGGTTATGTTTGTGTCTCTGAAAGCTGCTTAATTTGATGTGTTTTAGTTTGCTGAATCCCAGTAGACCTTCAGCTACGTTTAAGCCTTCTATAGTAGAATAATACCGTATCAAAAGAAGCTGTTAATCCCTATCAAAATATGCAGTGGAATTTGCTGAAACTAACAGGAATCAAAACACATCTGCAGCATCTCGTGACCTATACTAAAAAATACATCTCCAAAATATGATGGTAATTTTTAGCGGGCTACCTGTGGTAAACCGCCCATAAAATACCTTTGGTTTTTTCCCCCGTCCTGATTAGCAGGTTGCCTGTGGTAAACCGCGGGCATGCTACCTTCGTTTTTAGCGGGTTACCTGTAGCAAACCGCTCATAACAATACCTTTGGTTTTTTCCCCCGTCCTGATTAGCAGGTTGCCTGTGGTAAACCGCGGGCATGCTACCTTCGTTTTTAGCGGGATACCTGCGGTAAACCGCTCAAAAAATACCTTTGTTTTACCGGGTTACCTGTGATAAACCGGTTATAAAATACTTTTTTTTCCTGACTGATTACTGCGCGACAAAATGAAAAAAATTGCGCAATAGTATACCCAGGAGTCTTCGGGAACTTAGCAAAGAGACCTTTGCGGGCTTTCACTGTAGGGTTCAATCTACAGTCCGATAATTAGCATGTGCCAACTGCCAATCAATGTCACCATGGTGCCAAGTGATTAAGAGAAGGCGGAGCTAGCAGATCACGTGACGAAAATTAATGTCTACGCAGCTCTGTTTGGGTAACAGCTGTAATTCAAGACAGCCGAACTAGAAATATCACTGTACTCGTGAACAAGGATTTCGAGCCAATTTCTAAGCGGTGATCCTAAGCGATTATTTCTAAAATTTTCAAACTTCATGGGAAATAAGCATTTTCATAGTTTAAGAATCCATTCCACTGCGCATGCGATTTTATCCCGAATTTCTCACCTTCTTTTGTTTAATTAAGAACAAAAGAAGGTTTAGACAAAAGAAAGTAGAAATTCGGGATAAAATCGCATGCGCAGTGGAATCGATTCTTAAACTATGAAAAGGCTTATAGAAGGAGGAAGAGGAAGACAAACACTCAAGGTATAGGCAGCATAAAGCATTTCGCTAGAAAATGCGGTTGAGGGCTAAATTTGAGCTCAAAGCGAAAACAAGTGTGACGTCATTACCACGTGATGTGAGAAGGAAGTTTATTCTATATGTAACATATATGTCCTAGTGGCTATGAAATGGGAATCATTCTCTTAAGGCATGGGAGGTTCAAAAATAGTAGATGTTCGTGCAAACGTATTGGGTCGAGTCACCTTAACTTGAACTTGACAATATAGATATTCTTATAGCCTATAGTTATGTTACATTAACTGTTTTGGCTTTAAAGTCTACTACAAAGGAACATGAGGTACAATACATTATTTATTTTAAGATTCCATTTGATTAAAGAAGTGAAATAAATAATTTGCTAAGCACATTCTAGGTTTGATCTGATCTTTGCCGTTCGAAGCGTTATGATCTCCTTCAATTTTCTTCAAAAATGGCGATTCATTGAAAAATATTGATTGATTATAAAATCATAAAATGTAAAGCAATTCTGAGAGAGGTCTTGATCAAATATAAGCCTGTACTTGCGTTTTAAATGAAGCATTTCGATTTTAAAGCGAGTAATATTAAAATTCCCGTGCGATTTTGCATGTCCGTAAAACTAGTCGCGACATATGCCAAAATCAGGACCGGAATTGGAATTGGAGTTTGGAGTTCCAGATTGAGTTATTCGAGGACTGATCAGTATGGCATACACACTCTGCCTTTTTTGCAACTTATTTCCTCAGAGACTCAGATATTAGTAAACCCTTCCCAACCAGGTAAYCCATTCTACCCTGCCACCAGGGTCTTGTTTATTTAAAACCATAGGTTAAAGACCCATTGCCACTTACCGTGATGCACCGCGGTCACAGATTAATTTCGTGGTCCATGAAATTCAAAGATTCATATATTGAATAATAACGTCATATTGAATCCTTTTCCGACATAGCACTAAGGCACAATAATGATTCTTTTACATTCTTTTACGGCTTTAGGGACTATCTAAGAGTTTATTCAAAAGGTTGGAATTGTTTTTTCGGTGGTGACACGATTCAAAATGTAAACAAATTGTGATACATCACGGTAAGTGGCAATGGGTCTTCAACCAAGGGAACTATGAAGAATCAAGCAAATGAAGCATTTCGATTTTAGGGAAGGCTATAAAATGTCCGTGCGAATGTGCATGGAGAATAACGTCACGACAACCTAATTACGTATGCCAAAATCCGGATTGGAGTTCAGTTAGTCGATGACTTTGACCAGTACGACATAAAAGCTCTGCCTTACTCACAGTAAAGGGCTTGGACACTGTCAGTTCGAAATTTTGCAGTTTTTATTACCACTTTTTCCGTTAGATTCTTAGAGACTTAAATACTAGTAAACTTTCCCAACCAGGTAAGCCGGTATACCCTGCCACCAGGGTCTTGTTTGTCCTAATTTCTATATTCCTTAGTTTGTGATGTGTGTAGGTCGTAGGTACTCATACTAGGTCTTTTCTAAGTTCTACAAATAAGGTTGAGGGATTTTTACATTTCAGGATTTGTGTACCGAAATTTTGGGATCGGGAATCAAAATTTCAATGGGTACGAATTCCCAAGCCAAGCACGAAAGATATATCCTTCCTCACAATCCTGTTATGCACTTGGCAATGAATGACGGAAATGCTTGAGTAGATATCACAAATATAGAACGTTTTCATTTTCTGAAACTGCATCAGCTCTCATCGTTGTGGTTATAAGCGAAAGAGCTCAAGCGAAAGAGCTCCAGCGAAGGTTACGGGTCGTGCAAAAATAGCAATTTCTTAATTGTTTCGATTTTTATTTTAATTGTCATTTGAACGTGCATAGTTTTGTGATGTTAGACTTCAGTACTAGACTCGGCAGTGGTTTACCAACTCCTCGAGTAATTGTAATTATATAAAATGACATTGGACACTGGTTCAAGAGGCATCTATAGGCCATAACGAATTTTCTAGGGCAATAAAATATCGGAAGCTGTGGAAAATAACTGAGGTTGGACCGAAGGATCAGCGCTTTCTTCTTGTTTGCCGCGTGACTGTGTCATGTGGATCGGACACAACGAGAAGCTTTCTGTGCATGATTTATTTGTTTGATATTTCGATCAATCTCCAGTGATCGTCATCAGACTGAATTATAAATCAAGTTCAAGTTATTATTGTTAGTTATTATTAACTATAATATTTATAACTATTTGAACTCGAATTATAATTCAGTCTGATGATGAAAGAAAGGAAGGAAGAAAGATAGAAAGAAAGAAAG